CAGACAAACATTAGATGAGGCCATTGGACGAGGCCACATAGAACAAAGCTTGTTGTCAGAGAAATAAGCCATGAAGGGCATCCATCCTGTAATTTGCCCTTATAACCTATGGTGCTATTTCAGCCAGAAGGAGAGTAAAGCTAAAAAAGAGCTCAAAAGAGCTCCAGATTGTACACACACATATGTTGCTTAGCATCTAACCATTATGTGAGAACACTGACTTCAGTGATCTTCAGCTCACACCAGTGGAACTCTACTTTATTCTTTCTGACTGCTTGCCCATTCTGTCAATGCTGAAGACAGAACTGCTCTATAATGATTTGTGAATGCTGTAAGATGATGTGATGTCCTAATTACTGCAGTGCTTGTTGTATTCATATGTTGGATGAACTGAAAGGTATGTGGGGAAAGAAGTCATGAGGGGTGTCACACATTACAAGGAAAAACATGGCTCAACGTATACATCCTACTACAGCCAGCTCTGGGATGTTAAGAACCACATCCAGGATGTGAAAAAGGCTGAGCATCACAATACCAAAACCATTCGCCTGTGGTCTTGCATCAGTGTGGCCGAAATGTAGCTGGGAATGGATTTCTATTCTCTTTTAACTTCAACTTGCCTATGGCAAAAAAAAAAAAAAAAAAAAAAAAAAAAAAAAAAAAAAAAAAAAGAAAAAGGAGGAGGAGGAGGAGAAGATACAAAGATGATAAAAAACTCTTGGGCTGGATTCCCTTTCTGTCTTACACAGACATAAAGAACATACAGACATGGATAAGTCTGTTAAAAGAGAATTAAAACATACTAACCAATTTGCATTGCTGAAGCAATTGAAATCTTGAAGGGCATAGTCATAAAACTGGTTTCCCCTGAATTTCTTCTTCTATACTAATTAAGAGTCTTGGTTAAATTCCTTCCTTGTTCAAGTTTCACCAATAAAAAAATGATTCAACTAAAGGCTTCAGAGTAACTATGGTTTTGCTCCAGTGTAGAGGTAAAAGCTAATGTAGATAATTGCTAGAATTATCAATATTCAAATACAGATTGGGTAATTGGTACCAGAGAGACCCAGCGTGGCCTACTGAGAGTCACACGAATCTTCAAAAAAGTCAAACTTGAGCACTCAGAGAGGGGAGAGCATTATAGATAAAGCACGCTTGCTCTATCCTTATTCTCTACCAGAATAAGAGAATATGCTTGTGACCTCAGATGGAAACTGGGTACTGTCCTTGGAGATCTGAAGCAGTGTTGCTAATCATATATTCCTAGCATTTACATCCACTGATTATGTGGAGATACACTTCTTCAGGGACAATTCATAGCTGCTGCCCCCCAGCCCTATGACTGATGCTGTCAGGAATGCTGGAGGCTCAATGGCTAATTTACAGACTTAGCTGTACCACAAACATCATCTCCACAATTCAAGTCTGACAAGAAAACAGGACAGGAGAAAATTAGGTGGAGAAAGGTGATTTAGCAGAAAGAAGCTCTCTTCATTCCTGCTGATGTCCTCAGGATCAAACAGGGACAAAACAACATAAAAATTGCCTGTCCCTGGCAGAATGATTCCACAAGTTTTGCCTCAGAGTTTTGCAAGAGGGACAGAACCAATCCCAGTATGTCAAGTTTTAACACTTTATGGCAGAATAAGGCTGAGTTCCTACAGGAGCAAAATAACCAATTGACCCATAATCTATAAGTGCAACAATGGAGAATAAAATTTCCAGTATAATTGGTTTATAAATCATTCCTGTGATACCAGGACCTGGCAATTTATTCTGAACATTTGAGCATTTATTCTAGGGAAATGCTGTGGTTTAGCTATATTTAAACTCTTTGGCTGGTGCTACCGGGGGAAAGATGACAACTGTGCACAATGATTTATTTCTCCACTTTACTTGGATTGTAAAGGTGTAAAGACACAGCCCTGAAAAAGCACTCTATCCAGTGGGCAGAGTGCACTGTGCAAATGCTGTCCTTCCTGGCCCCAGCATTCTGCAGTGCTGGATTTCCACTCAGAATAGCTGGTGATGGGCAGTCACCTTCATCCTCCAAATTTACTCACGTGTATATCCTGTTTCTCAGGTCATGAGCTCTCCTTGTGCCATGCATTCCTATCTCTCCTGCATTATAGGAATTTTAACATGTGATTAGCTGCTTTTGGACAAAGAAACCACCAGGGACATTTCTCATTGCTTCCAGGCTGGCTGGTTACTCCTTACTGTCTTGGCTGGTGACGTACAGCCTTCATTCCTCAGCAAAAAGAGCAGAAACACTTTCTGGATGTGGATTCTAGAGACATTAACAGTCTTCTTGGACAGTGGGGTGAGATGGAGCCAACACCTGAAATGGGATGAGCTCAAGAATCAGCACTGAAAGTACATTATGGCAGTTTTATTTAAGCATTAGCTTAGCAGATACAAGGAAAAGATCCTGCCTTTCTTCAAGGTAAAAGAATGGAGACACTTGCCAAACCTTTCCCATACTCAGATGGCCAGGACAGGGAGGATGGCTGACAGTTTCCTTTTCCTGAGGCTTATTTCCACTTTCATCCCTCCAGGAAGCAGTAGCAGAACCATCACTCAATCTCTGCAGCTGTTCTGCTCTGTGCCAGAGCAGTTACCTCAGTGACACCAGATGGGAAGCAATAATGTCATCCCCGTGCCATAGATTTAAAAGGACAAACCATCCTGAATGACCAGCTTTTCATTAGCAGAATTTCACAGAAAAATAGCTGAAGTTCAGGAAGTGCCATATGCATATCCTAAGCAGACAGAGAGATCCAGTTACTTTTATTCTAACGAATGATGCTCCCAATGTTTAATACAGCGCTGAAATCTGTTGAAAAGGAGCAAGATGGAAAGGCAAGATTCAGCACCACACTGCTTTTCTAAGTTATCAAAGGCAATCTGAAAACACTGGACTCTGGTTACAGATTTGATCATGAGAACTATGTTCTTGAGGAAGGATAAAGAAACCAGAATTTAAGCTAGACTTACCCTTGCTTTCCAAAAGTACAAAGCAGTGAGCGAAAAGCAATGGCCCTAGCTTCAGCAGCAGAGCCTCAGCCCAACCATTCGATCTCATGGACTGGCAGTTAAATACATGTCACAACATACGTACCTTCTCCAGACAGAAGGGCCACTCAAGGGCAGCTTCCTCACATACAGACTTCAAGATCAGAGGATATTTGGCATGCAGACACATCAGCATGCATGCTCTTGCCTCACCTATCCAACATCTATCTCTTTATCTCTTTCTAGAGATGAAACTACAAGCATGCTATAAGCATGACAAAGCCTAACTTGTTCTTTGTTTAGTTACATACAACATGCAGTATCTACAAACTCCTATATCTTCACCCAACAAGATGGGTTGCACTGGATCTAGAGGTTTCATCATGCAGTAAGTTGTCTCTAAGCCTCCTCTTCCAACCTGGCAAAGAATTTCAACTGGCCCTTTGCTCAATGGGAAGAGATAGGGTAAACCAAGCACAGCAGTGACTGTGCATGGCACTTGCTTTCTCCTCCAGCTGTAGCAAATGGAGCTGATTTTATCTTCAAAATCTTCTGTTTGGTTCCTCTCCTGGACACTTATCAGACAACCAGCTGATCCGAGCTAAGATCATGGTGAACTTATCAGATGGAAGGATCTATATGGAACGGATTATTGCTGCCCATTGTGGACACTGATGCCTAGAACTGTGTTTTTAAAGAGAATAATCTTGCTGGTGTGTCTCTTCTGATCAGCCTTTCAAAAACATATTCATATAAGTAGGAGCTGCAGCATCTCTGTTGAAGTGTTCTGACAACATGATGGGCTATTATAAACATATAATTTGCACAAGTGTAACCAGTCCAGATATTTAGGGTAGGTCAGAGCACTGACTTACCATGCCCTCTCTAACATAATTCTTGCTATCTCTTGGTCAGAAAGACCCTGTTTAAATGCAAAGGCAATCTGCAAGACAGTGAAAGAAATATGCACAACATGGGTTGCTGACCAAGCAAAACTTTGCCGGCTTAGGATATGGTATTAAAGGCTTACCAGCTGTTTTCTTCTGTCATTAACAGTACTTTAGAAAATACACTTACACGCAGTACAAAAAAAAGTCAAGAATAAAACCTGGAGATATTTAACTTGCAAATAACAGCACGAAAGCAGGAAAATCTGTGAGTGCAGGCAAGATGCTGATGATTGAGAGATGTTCACCATCACATAGGCTACTTTCCCAAGAAGAGGAATACCCTCTTTTCCAGTAGGAAGGGATGAAATAGCACTTATTTTATCCGTTACTGATACACATGAACTAAAGAGGTTGATGTTCAGTACTTGCCTTTTCTATCCGTTATTTCCTGCGGTGTTTTTTCCTCCTAATATTGCGAAGAGTAACAGCTATTTACAACACTGTGAATAATGGTTAATGCTTAGATTAAATGTGAGCTGGGAGGCAGAGAAGGATTAAATGCAGAGATGATACTGTCTTAACAGACTGCTGGCCTTTGTCATAAGTGAGCTGTCAGACTTACACCCAACAAAATCCATTAGGAGAACAGCAGCTTTGCCAGCAGCCATTACAAAGGGAAGAGGAAAACATTTCAAATCAAGGGGAATAACTTCTATTAGGATTAGACAAATTCACAGATGGTAGAAATACCAGATTCTTTGAAAAACAACAGCCCATATGAATGCTCAGCATATCTCTAGCCTGAGACAAAGAGAAGGAAAGCAGAAAGCAAACCATTTGGGCTTGTTTCTTTGTTTCTCACAACAGGTAAGCAAGTTGACATGTCAGCTACAAGAAAAACATTGGACCCTCTCCTGTATTCTACAGGCTGCAGTGTTGATGCTGTGAAGCACATCCTAGATCTGAGGCAAGGAGTCAGAAACTCAAAAGACAGGGGAAGAAAGATCCAAACAGCCCAAAGGGAGGTGATGGAAGACGTGACAAGGAAAAGGGAACAGCAATAACCCAAGTCAAAATAAACAGAGAACCACTTGCCTGAACAAACCTTTGGTACAATACCACCTGTGAGTTCTTCTGATCACGTTTGCCAGGTCTCCAGGAGACAGAATTCTCCAGCATCAGTAAATGAGCCCCTGGGGGAAAACATGGCAGACAAAGCAGGAGCATTCAGCCTAATAATGTAACTGAGAATAGCAGGGGAAGTAAAACCTGAAAAGCTCCCAGTTCTGCAGATGTAAACGCAATCCCAAAAGACTGATAATCTTCATTTCTTAATGTGGGGCTGCATCATGATAAGCACAGGGAATGGCAGTGACCCTTACCATGGCTGTGTGCAGGAGGTCAGCACACAGCACAGTGGTCACGTCCAACACAGAAGTGAAATGTAGAGCCAAAGCTGTGCCAGCACGAGGATTAGTTTCTCATTTTCTATCTGCTATGAAGCTTGTGATGGCAGGCACATGGGAAAGGCCAATTACACTTCTGCTGATGGTTGCAGCAAGCCCTGTGAAGTGCTGCATCCCTTCAGTACCTCATGTCAAACACTGCAAAAGCTGGGTCAGAGAGGCTGAGCAGGCTGAGGAAAACCTGCGTGCACCAAGTCACAGGAGCAGACTTTCACCTTATGGAGCTCTCACAAGGTCTGAACACCTCCCAGACACACACAAAAAAAACCACACAACCTACCTTATTCCCTTAATTTGCCACTTCAGCACAATTCAGGCTGCTGCACTGTGAAGAGAAGCACAAACATGTCAGATGGACTGCCACTGTGGGACTGAGCACCAGAGCAAGCAGCAGCAGGGACTGATTCCCTAGCTGCTTTGAGACCTGCTGATGCAAGGTATAGCTCTGGGGGTGAACAAGAAACAACTTCTTGCTGTTGCCTTCTTGCTCCCGACAAAGTGTCACAGCCTACTCAGACTCCCTCCACGTTCTGATGCTCAATATAGTTATTATTCCACCCTCAGCAAGGCTTCTGCGTCCATCTCTGAGAAGAGCAGGGGTTGCTTTGTCTGTCGCAGTGATCTTGCATTGCTTCACAAAGCACAGGAATGTATGCTGCCAGAGCTCACCAGGCCATATAGCACAAACCAGAACTCAAAAAGCTTCTGCGTTCTCCACCTTAAAGCACAGGGAAAGCCCACAGGGAAGAGAAGCTGCCAGCTGTTCCCTACATCGATGCTTTTTACACTTCCCAGTCACCACTCCAAGCCCCATAAATACCTGCAGGGTCAAAGCCCTGTCCTCACAAGTAAGAGCAGTGACCTTGACAAGTGACATAGCCAGTATACAGTCATTTCTTTAGAGGGACTTGCCCCCGGTACAATTTTTTGCTCATTCAGTCTTCCTCCTCCTTCAAGCAATATCTGCCAGAACTAACTACATTCAATTCATTTTCCTCTTCCTCTTTCTCCTTCTTCTATTTTATTTTTTGTGTTGTCCCAGCCTACCCCTCTCTGAGGTGTCTCCCTGGGGAAATTCATGTCCCTTGTACTTTTTACTCTGTGTGCATAATAGAACGTTATCTGCATAATTTATCTTTCACTACATGTTGTGTTCCTCCTGGCTAAGTGTTTTTCTAAAATAAATATATATCCTTATTACGTACACCGAGAAAATGAGCCAGCAAACTTGTCCCGTGTGAGAATTCTATGATACCCAAAACCTGAACTACCAACTATTGGCTCAGTCCTTCAGGTCAAATGCAACTGTCAAGCTGATTGCTGTTCATCTCTGAATGCACATTTTGTAGTGTTCAGTTCTTCCCATAGATCTAATGAAACCCCTGCAAGGCTGAATCCAGATAGAATTTGGAATTGAAATGCAACCCAGAAAACAAGGGAATTCCATGAGATAAGGCAAAACAAATAAACAAATAAACCCCTTCCTGAAGCACCTCGTTACATCTCTTAATGAAACAACACCTATGGGAAAATCATAGAGTGGAATCATAGAATCATTAAGGCTGGAAAAGACCTCTAAGATCATCCAGTCCAACCATCAACCCAGAATGAGGAACACAAGCACAGGTCATAGACTAATTGACACAACCATGACACCCATCCCACGTTGGGCAGCCATGCTGCTCCCACTTAGTGAGCTTTCAAGAAGCACAGCTGCCAGCTAGTTCATACTACAACTCACAGAATGCTGACAAAACAGCTGACTCTTTCTTGAAGTTAAATGTGCTGGGGCAGTTTTGAGGTCCAGTCACCACAATCTTCAGTCAGCTTCTCTCATGGGCTGACGAGCATGAGAACAGCGCTGTGTTTTGCTGACACTGTTTGGGTTTCCAGGTGTTTACAGCTAGAGCAAGAAAAATTGGAAAAAAAAATACAAAAAAAGACCAAAATAAATCATATTCTTTTCTATTGTGGCCTAAGATTTCATAGCAAATCAGAATCAAAGTATATTAGGGTGAAATTGTGCCCTGAGTAACTAAGGGAGTTAAAAATCAATCTTTATTTATTCTACCACGTGACTGCATCCATTCAAATGAAAGTGAATGCGATGTTTCTGAGTTTCTCTCCATTTTCCTTTACAATTCTGAAAGTGTCCAAGTTTTCTTCTCGGCCCAACAGTTGTGCTCCTTGTTTTGCACCATCTTTCCCACTTGCAGCCATTCACCAGCAGGTTCAGCACCCAGGGTTACAAGGTACTGGATCTACGCCATAGTAGGATTGAATTGGATACTTGCAATGGTAGCAAATACAGGAACAATGTCATACAGGTTTGGAGTTTCCTATCAATCCCTTCATAATTCAGATGTCTACAGACGCCTTTGGTAGACTGAGATGTCCTTGGAGAGTCTAGATCTTCCCATGGGAAGCTTGCAGGATCAATTCAGGGCCTGAATTCAATTCAAATTCCTGGGCACAGATGTTTGGGACCTCTTCAAACAACTGATTTCTGAAAGTGCTGAGTCTCCTGGACAGAAAAGACTGAGAAGCAGCTCTTTTACCTAAAAAATGACAACATGGGAAGGGGATCTCAGCAGAACCAATTTGAATTTTACAGACAACACTTTAGAGGTAGGAGTGTGGCAACTGAAGGAATCAGCTAAAAAGCCCTGCAAACAGGAAAAAAAACCCAGTATGTCTTCTCTCTTCTTTGACAGTATTGCAAAGCTCTGCTGTGCATTTTTCTGTTTTAGCAGAGGAGTTGAAAATGAACTTAAAAGCTGTGGGTAAAGGATGGGTTTTCATCACAGTTTCTTTGACAGTCTCTGAGACTTTGATGCTCTTACCCAGGGAGACGAGCATGGAGGAGGACTGTGCATGGCCACAATGGGAAGAGGAGGAAGGTTTAGCTTAAAACAAATACACGTTTTAAAACTTCTCGTCACCTCTAAACATCAACTGTTCCTTACAAACCTTCCTCTGAAATCAAAGGCAGCAGTTACATCTTAAAGGACTTCTGTTGAGGAAAGATATTTCTTCCACTGATCTACCTGCAGGGCTGCTACCAGGAATCAGACTAGAACTGCTCTTCCTCAGTATTTCAGTAGGTATTACCAGTTTCCAAGTGCAGCCAACAACGGTGTCCTTCAAGCAGGTAAAGTGACATTGTACTTTCTTCCATTTTTGCTGTGTTTGGGCAATTCTCTGTTATCAGAAACGGGAAGAAGTGGTTCTTATGTTTTATTGGCACAGAGATGATTTTGCCAACTTGGCTTTCCAGCCTTTAGTGGCTCTGGTATCAGATCTGGTGCTGGTACCTGTACTGACATTGCTTCTGGTATTGGTATTGCATCAGTTCCGGTACTGATTGGAAATATTTGCCCCAGTGGATATAAACATTAACATTTGGTGAGGGGAAGGAAGCCTGACAACACACAGGTCATTTCAACCAGCTCAGCATGATCAAACTCTGGGACACATCTGCTCAAAGCATCTGTGGTGTTTAAATGTTTGCCCCAGAGCCAAAAAGCCAGGATACAGAAAACACCGATGTGTTATGCACCAGAGAAATCAGAAGTCATGTCCTCAGTGAGCACTGAGAGTTCAGGTTCCAGAAGAAAAGGTAAAAAGGGGACACAGTTTCAGAAAGGACTTGAAAAGCTAACAAAGAGTTTTTTCCCTGTGCTCAAGTCACAACACTGGTGGCTGCTGAAGAAAACTCAGACAGGTGATAGAGAACAGGTATGGTCATGAAAACACTTCTTCTTTTTCAGAAAGCAGTTTGGGACAATTAAAGTAATTAAAACAGAACTTGCTGAGAAGTCCTATTAAAAAACAAAAAAACACATTTTTAAATTAAATATAATTTCTGCAATTTGCTGGTGCACAACACAGCAGAAGGTTGTGATAGCTTTTTGTTTTGTAACCTAAGAAGGCCTATTTAGCACAAGCAGCAGGCAGCGTGATTTCTAGCATGACGGATACCTGAACATTTGTATTTCATTTGTTGGCTCTGGGAATTTATTTGGTTGTTTTTTTTCCCCTCCTCTCTTCATAAAGATGAAGCTTGGTTTGGGAACTTGCATCCAGGCAAAAAATCTCTGTAGGAAGCTCAGTTGGAAAAAGCTGAGCTATATCTCTGCTCTGAGTTTTTCTCTGGAAACAGTTCTTCCACTCAGGACTACAGAGGGAGCCTCTCTCTTGCCATAAAGCACCTTCCCCAGCTGCATCAGCTGGGTAACACCAATAACACACTCAACAATTAAATTGGGCTGCACTCACCTTCTCCTTGGGGGTCACGAATGAGGATGTTTGATGACAAACCTCCGGGGATTCTGGAACATGAAGGAAAAGGCGAGGGAAATCTTTCAGCTCTGAAAAATAAATCTGATCAGTTTATTGTAGCAGTTTGTAAGTACTTAAGTGAGCCAAAAATAGTTTAGCAATTCGATGGAGCAATACAGGCACCGTATCTATGCTGGGCTGGACATGTGTGTGTTAGCTGCATCACTGACCATAATAATGTCCTTAGGTGTAAGAACAGGATTCATGTGCTCTTCCAGCTGACGTTTTAGTGTAATTCTATGTTAATAAAAGTGCAGCTGAAAAATTCGTGCAGAAAATAAGTCTAAAGCACTCAAAATGGAGGAACACCCCCCCCCCCCCCGTGGAAGTCTCTCTGATTCTGGGGGTTGGAGGTAAGTGAAACAAGCCTATATATGAAAGGACTAGCACCCAGCAGCACTGTCCTCCCTGTTACTACAGGCAGTCAGGCCTTGAAATGATGACAAATTGACTTGGAAATGCTCTGATGCACCTGGATGATCTCAGAAAATGAAAGGCCTGGAGGATTCCCTTTTCAGCGTAAAAGGGAAATACACATTTATGAAAATCAGCCATGCTTCTTTACTTTTGTTTTCATCACTGCAATAGAAGTGAAACATGCACAGTCCCAGGGAGAGCCGCTGTCCCACCAGCAGCCAATAACCAGACTCATCTCTTGATGGTTTCATGGCTTCAGCACAGAACTGCAGCTGGGTTTTATCGTTCCCTTGCCCTCTTTAACTGAGGATGGACTCAACTTTTGTTTAGAGCATTCCCCAGTCTCTTGGACAATCAGATAAACAGAGGCATGCTTTGGCCTTAAGATGTTACCCTAGAGCTTACTGGGACTAGCAAGTAGAGAGGAAGGAGCAAGTAAGTATTGAACAGGATGATAAATCCTACACCACTCCCAGCCACTATAAGGAAACACTAATTTCTTAGCTCTCACAGACCACCCCCCGCCCCATCCCTCAAGCAAAAATGTCATTTTTCTTTCTAACAGAAGCATGAGTTACTTTAGGTCAATGCTGTGATCAATACCAGCAGCCCTGGGACTTCTCATACAACATTAATTGTATAACCAGGTTACTAGCTGAGTACTGCATCTTAACCAAGGAGCAGCTCCTAAACTTAGAAGTTGAAGTACTTCTGCCCAGGTGAGTCACAACCACAGAGCCAGCACTGGATGCTTCAGAGTTCATTTAAGCTTTGCAAAGAACAAGAAATGACTGTTAGCATTTGAAATCATTTGTTCTTATTTATCAACATAAAACCAAAGTACACTCTGAGAATAAGTCAGCTCTGTATTAGAAGCTGTTCCTTTCCCTCTCTTGATAGCGTTTGAAGTGCTAGACTGAAAATACCGAGTACATCTAATCCTGGGCTTGCCCCACAACTCACTCTGTGGACTCATTTCTATCCCTCTGCAGAAGTGCCAAGCCTTCTCCTCTACAAATGTCACACACAGGAGCAGAGACTTCTCTGTGAAAACTGAACTGGATTTATAACCATCCACATATGCGTGTACCAGGAGATGGCTCAAGAAAGGCAATGAAGACCCAGATCCCAGTACACTCTCAAGGCAGAGTTCTGTATTTGTAGCCACAAATGCTTCGTGTTCACATTTTCTTCTTTGTTCACACTGGAGACAATTTCACAGACTCTCACTCTTTCATTCCTCCCATCCCTTAATGGAAGTTCATTGAGGAGCTTCAACAAGCATCCAAAACACTGCAGAATGGGAGCAGCACGAGGTCAGCTGAGTGACTCATGGTCCTTCTGGAGAGCCAGGACCTACTCAAGTTGCTGAGCATTACAAGGGATGCTGAACAGAAGGATGGCAGTGCGAGGCCACAGGGCTGCCTGCAACCTGCTGAGCTGGGAGAAGGAAGAGCACATTCCCCTGCTGCCCTCATGGCTGCCTGCTGGTGACGAAGCTCTTGTTTGGAGCCCTACTAGAAGCACTGTTTTACCTCATCACTTCATTTCCAGCCTCTGGCCCAGAATATGACCAAACATGAATTACAGTTTATCAAGAACCAGCTCCTGGGGCTGATCATCCTTCTAGAGCTCACCTTTATTCTATTACTTGGACAAAATGCTTCCACGTAGATGCCTTCATGTAACTAATGGAGCTGAACCTCTTCTCTGCTCCTGTAGCATCAAGTTAATAACAAATTGTACCCCCTCACCAGGCAAAATAATCCCCTCAGAAACTCTAATCAAATGTGAAAACTCAAAGGACAAAACCAGACGTATGCAAAACATCTGCAGCGCACATAATTTCAGGCACCCCTGGAGCAGGGGCTCTTCTCACAGCCCCCTCCCTGTCTGCAGCTCCTGTTTGCCAGAGACAACAAGAGGAACCTGTGTTCTGCTGCTCCCTCCGCATAGAGATAATTCACTGACAAGGCTCCCAGTAATGTGCCAACTCATTAATTACTGTAAGAACTGTGTCAGCGAGAAGCAGGCAAGGTGACTGCTGAAAATGGTCAGAGAGAGCTGCCTATTAGCACTTGCTACCTTGTCCATTACATGCTGAAAAACAAACCAATAATACCTGACAGACATCTCTTAAC